CACGGGGTCGAATCCCCGTCACACCAAACATGCTCACCTCTGCCATTGCCTGGACCCAAGTCCAGGATGAGAAAGGAGGAGGGTTGGGTGCGGGACTAGCAACTCCATCCTGTAAAAACCAACCTGCTACAAGTAACTGCAACAATAACTCTCCGTTGGTGAGGTGTTGTTGCGGCCCTATGCTCCACTGGGAGTTTACAGGAATAAAAAAAAAATCATTGCCTTCTGTACGTAAAATCTATTTGTCACTACATGGGTCAGAGAAGTCTGTAGAACTTTGGAAGGCTTTCACTAGTGACATTAATGATGATTCATTAACTGTATATCAGACATTAAAATTAACAGTTTTGAAATCTAAGCTAGAGGTAATGGATTAGATGGCAATTCTAAAAATGATCTATTTCAAGAATACAAAAGTAATTTGATTAAAACAGAAAAAAAAAATCATTACTGTTAATAATACTATTAACTTTAGAATTTATCCAAGATCTGTATTTCCTGATAACCAGATTACAATTTCATCAGTAAAGTTAACTTTATTTTGATAACTTGTGCAAGTTCAAGATATGAAATTGGTGGTTTCCCAAACAGCAGATGATTGGGCTAACACTGGAAAATGAGAAGTTTAAAGATTGTAAGTTTGTCTCTGTAATTCGTTTCTGTTAAAGAAATATCAACAACAAAAAAAAAACAACATTACTGAATGTCCAGAGAGTAACTGGGATAGAATTTCTCAGTACTACTGTTAACCAAATTAGACTGGCAGCAGGTAAAGCCTATATAAAAATATACTGTACAAACACTAAATTTAAAAAAAAATGAATACTGTACAAAGATAATTTGACAAAACTAATGGTTTCTAGTGAATATAAATAAAATAGCAAACACCTGACTAAATTTCACTTACCAATTAAGTATTAAACAAGCAGTAAAACGAAATAAAACTCATGATCCTAAAATTGGGATTAATTTTTCTTAAGGAGCTAGCAGTAACAGAACGTTACTTAACAGAGAACTACATAATTTAAAATATATTTACAACTTTGATAAGTTTCAAATCATGCCTTTTGGCTTTGCTGCAAAGTAAAGACTAAGCACGTTTTTAGGCCTAATTATTTCAACCAGTCTTCTAATTTAAATCTTACTTAATATATATTTGTTAAATATTTCTTTTCTCTTTCATCAGAGGTGAAATTGAATAGAGAATCAATGACGTAGAGGCCTAATACATTCGTTGATTGGCTGTACCCTCTGCTGTGGACTGCGGTTTAACCCATTCATTAGCATAGCTAGATACAAGTCTTAGTTTTTATCTTGTTATTGATAGGTGCAAAAACCATATTTAGCGTATTATTAAATACAAATGTACTTAGTATCCAAACCACTGTTCATGGTTACTGCGTAGAATTTTGTCCCTAATGCTTATACTATTATTAATAGTACCCTACGTTCTTGAAGTTCAAGTTTCAACGCCTTCTGTTCAGACACTGTAAAAAAATGAAATGTGATATTTAAATACTTAGTTTACTAATACTTATAACTGATTACCATTTTTACTAAAGTAGGAACTAACGATCCTATTAAACCACATGCTGTAACAACCCAAAACAACGTTGTGTTTGTATCTCCAGTAGCAGACTGGTTATTGACAAGCGCCATTTTAGTGAAATTAGTCTCGATCATTGCCGTCAGGTGGCAACGACAAATAATTAAATCTTTCATATTTCGGAAGTTAAATTGTGCCATTTTCTATAGTTTTAAACATCCTTACAAAATCCAAACGGCACAGTTTTACGCAAAAGTTGAATATACATATCCTTTCTTGTTCATATTTTGTTTCAAGGTATTTAAAAATTTTCAACAATAGAAATTCACTAAAAAATGGCTATTTGATACA